CTCAGGGCTGCCCAGCAAGAGGCTACTTTGAGTGTTCTGCACTAGGACCTCTGCCCAGCTTCCTGGACCCACCTACCTCAATCTGCTTGTCCTGGAAGACCTTGTTGATGCTGGTGTTGAAGGCTGAGCCGGAGAACATGGAGGTGATGGGGTAGGTGAGGTCCAGGACCGTCTCAAACACGGAGTTCATGCTCTGCAGGAGGAGGGCGAGGGGTCACTACGCGGGTGGCACGGCCCAGCACAGGCAGCGTTCTTAGTCCAGGCTCATGGAGACAAGCAGGGAGGAATGTCGGGGAGACGGCAGCGAGCCTGAAGCTCACAGGAGACTCACCCACTGCACGTGGCTCCGAAGCGGGATGGTGCCCTGGCACAGCCCTGCCACTTGGCATGCCAGCCCCGGAACCGCTGGTGGGGGTGTGGCATGTCCTCCAGCCAAAGCACCGTATGCCAATTAGCATGACGGGTTGTTACTGGGGATGTTGCGATTCCCACCGGAACCCCCCTGCTGCATGCGCAACAGAGGCTGCCGTGCCTAGCAGCACAATGCTGAGGCACACCATGGGGCTCTCTGCTCCAAGCCAAGCAGCCGTCCCAGGGCCAAAGGGAGGACAAACCCCCACAGCCTGCAGGGGATTTGCCTCTGAACCCACAGGGCAGAGCTGCATAGCATGGGCAGGGGGCAGAGATGCCTGCAGCAGAGAGAGCCTGGAGGTTCTACGGGCCCCCTCAGGCAGACTGATCAGGCCCCAGTGCATGCTGGGACCTCTGTATTGCACTTGCTGGCCGTGAGGGCCAGCTCCCAGTGCAGCCCTGGGCCTGGCTGCCAGCAGCTGTGGGGAAGGCTGGGTCACGGGGTGGCAGCTCTGGGAGGGGCTGGTTCGGGGAGTTCTCCTGCTCCCACCCTCCCAAGTCTGGCCCTGCCCCACAGCACACCAACCCTGTGTCTGCCCCACCCCACAGCAGGCCTTGCCCCTCACCTTGGCCCATTCACGGGCACGCTGCTTGGTGCGCACAGCACTGCGCTCTTCAGCATAGAGAGCCCCAATGAAGGAGCCAATGGATGTGCCCCCAATCAGGTCAATGGGGATCCCGGCTTCCTCCATGGCCTTGATCACCCCAATGTGGGAGCAGCCCCTGTGGGAGGGAGGGAGAGGTCAGAGACCAATGGCAGGCAGGGAGCCTGCCCCAGGGACCATCACATGGCCCCGAACTCTGCAGCCTGCCACGCAGCTGCCATGCCCCCAACGGGCCAGGTGGCCAGGATGTCTGCGATGGTGCTCCCAGCATGCACTGCTCCGGGCAGGGTGGTGGGCGGCAGGGTCGCTGTCCCAGCCCCACTCCCACGGCCCTTATTGGGAGGCAGTGTTCGTGTACCAGTAGGGACATGGGGCTGGGAGCCAGGACTCCTGGGTTCTATCCCTGGGTTTGTCCCCCCTGCCCACTGTAAAGCTGGGGTTGTGGATGCCTATGGCCCCCCATTAGGGGCTGGTTTGCGCCTGGGTGCAAAGGAGTGCCATGGGAATTCAGTGCCCCAGCCAGGCCCTGTCTGAGCCCCTACCTGGCCCCTCCTCCTCCCAGCACCAGGGCAATGCTGTTGCCGGTCAGGACCCGTGCCAGGCGGGAGAAGTCGCTGTGCCGGTCAGCGTCCTTCTCGAAGACCTTCGCATACATCTCCCTCTGCAGGGCCAGGAGCGAGAGTCAGACAGGCTGCCACCCCCAAAGCACCCCCCATACAGCACGCATGCACCCCCAGAGCCCACTCCCCACCCCACAGCAACTCCTTTCCACACACACAGCACCCTCCCACCCCCTTATAACAGGAAACCCCCTGGCTCTGCACCCCACACTCCAGAGAGGTCTGATGCCATCACAGACCTAGGCCAGGCTGGCATCAGGCTCTGCCCAGGTTAATGCCATGGAAGGCAGCAGAGGCACCACAGAGACCAGACTGGCCTGGGGGTCTTTTCTGAGACAACAGCTCTGTGCCCACCCCCATGGGGGTCTTGTCTTCCCTTAGCAGACAGCTTCGCCGTGTGGCACCATGCTGCACCAGCCCAAAGGGTCCTGGGGACAAGAGGGACAGTACCAGCTTGTTGGGGCTCCGGCGGGAGAAGACACGGCGTGGGCACTTGATGTGAAGGTGTCCTGAGCACCAGCTGCGCATGTTGAGCCACTCAACAGTACGGGAGGGGCTGGGGCCATCCTCCCGGTGCAGCAGAATCAGCTGCTTCAGGGCACGCACGGCTGTGTTCTCCAGCATCTGCTCCAGCTGCAAGGGCAGAACAGGGGCCCCTAGAATGAGCCAACTCCCCGGTGGAATGATCCCCGCCCCGGCACAGCACACACAGCCCCATCCCAATGCACAGATGCCCTCCCTGCCCCCCACAAGCCTCCATTCCTGCACGACATACCCAGCCCCCTGCCTCTGCACAGCCCCCTCAGCGGGCAATTCCCCCCCACCCCACCCAGCATGAGCCGCTGCAGCCCAGCCCAGCTCATAGCCCCCCCCCCCAGGATGAGCTCCTACCCCTGCATGGCACGCACAGCCCTCCCCAGCAGGAGTCTGGAGGGAAGCTGCAGAAAGGACTTGGAAGCTGGTCATAGATTCCCAGACCAGAAAGGACCACTGTGATCATAAAGTCTGACCTGCCTGACACAGGTTAGAGAACTGCCCCCAAGGATTCCTAGAGCAGATCTTTTAGACCAGTGGCTCTCAACCTTTCCAGACTACTGTGCCCCATTCAGGAGTCTGATTTGTCTTGCGTACCCCAGGTTTCACCTCACTTCAAATCTACTTGCTTACAAAATCAGACATAAAAATACCAAAGTGTCACAGTACAGTATTACTGACAAATTGCTTCCTTCCTCATTTTTACTATACAATTATAAAATAAACCCATCAATTGGAATATAAATATTGTACTTACATTTCAGTGTAGAATATATAAAGCTGTATAAACAAGTCATTGTCTGTATGAAATTTTAGTTTGTACTGACTTCGCTAATGCTTTTTATGTAGCCTGTTGTAAAACTAGGCAAATATCTAGATGAGTTGATGTACCCTGGGAAGACCTCTGTGTACCAGGGTCCACCATGACCCCCAAGTCTTTTTCAGAGTCCCTGCTTCCCAGGACAGGGCCCCCCACCCTGTCAGCATGGCCTACAGCAGGGGTGGGCAAACTACGGCCCGGGGACCACATCCGGCCCTTCAGACGTTTTAATCCAGCCCTTGAGCTCCTGCTGGGGAGCGGGGTCCAGGGCTTGCCCCGTTCCGGCACTCCAGCCGGGGGCTTGCCTTGCTTCACGGGTCGTGTGGCTCTGCACAGCTCCCAGAAGCAGCGGCATGTCCCCCCTCCAGCTCCTATGCATAGGGTCAGCCAATGGGCTCCACAGCTCCCATTGGCCAGGAACCATGGCCAATGGGAGCTGCAGGGGTGGCGCCTGTGGACGGGGCCTCCATGTAGGAGCTGGAGAGGGGACATGCCGCTGCTTCCGGGAGCTGCTTGAGGTAAACGCCGTCTGGAGCCTGCACCCCTGACCTGATCCCCCTCCCGCCCTCCGAACCCCTTGGTTCCAGCCCAGCACAACCTCCTGCACCCCCAACCCCTCATCCCCAGCCCCACCCCAGAGCCTGTATCCCCAGCCGGAGCCCTCAGCCCCTCCCGCACCCTAACCCCCAATTTCATGAGCATTCATGGCCCGCCATACAATTTCCATACCCAGATGTGGCCCTCAGGCCAAAAAGTTTGCCCACCCCTGGCCTACAGTCTTTGCTCGTAGATGTAGACATTTACTCTAAGCCACATCAAAACACAGATTGTTTGCTTGTGTCCAGCTCACAAAGTGACCCTAATCGCTCTATCATCTGAGAGTGGAGACAAGGGAGCCCCGACAGTGCTTCCAGGCTGCACTCCACAGGCCAATGCAGCATCCCAGACCATGCTGGTCACCCTCATGGGCTCGGGATGCAGCGTTCCCCCAGGCACTGTACACAGGGCCCCAGCCTCCCCTCACCTTGCCTAGGGCTGGCTCCTGGTCCCCCAGCCCAACAATGAGGATGCAGTCAGCTTGGCGGATGCAGCGCACAGTCCAGGGTGTCAGCGTGCAGTCGGTCTGATACAGCACAATGCGGTGGATGTCCTCCTGCTGCGCCAGCCAGCCCGACAGCCGGTACTCTTGGATGCTGCCAGGGAGGGGATGTCAGCAGCAGGGGTGGCTCCAGGCACCAGCGCACCAAGCGTGTGCCTGGGGCGGCAAGCCGCGGGGGGCGTCCTGCCAGTCGCCGTGAGGGCGGCAGTCAGGCTGCCTTCGGCGGCATGCCTGCGGGAGGTCCGCCGGTCCCGTGGCTTCAGCAGCAATTCGGCGGCGGGTACGCCGAAGGCGCGGGACCTGCGGACCTCCCGCAGGCATGCCACCGAATCCGCGTTACCAGCGGACCTCCCGCAGGCATGCCGCCGAAGGCTGCCTCACTGCCGAGCTTGGGGCAGCAAAATACATAGAGCCGCCCCTGGTCAGCAGGCAGCCTCCAGCTCTGTCCTGCCACACCCCATTGCTCCAATCCCTGCTTCTGGCCCTCCTCCGAGCTCCCACCATGCAGCCCCTCCTTCACTCTACCAGATTCCCGGATCCCAATGGGGACCCTTCCCTCAAGGTCCCCGTATGCAGTTCCCCAGCTGCATGCTCTGACAAAGTGGAAGGTTTTTTGTAATATTTGTATGAAGCCTATGTATACCTCAGTTTCCCCTATATGCTGCATTGTTACCTAGTGGGGTGTGAGGAAGGTCTGTTTGCTTTCTGGCCAGGCTAAAAAACACAGGTGTTAACAGCTCCTAGCTCTCTGGGGCTTTAGCTCTTGAGAAGACAATGGGAAATCCAGTTGCCCAGACACGGATCAACGACCCAGAGAGATGGACTTCCCCTCTCGGCAGGGGGGCTGAGCCGCATCTCCCCAGTTTGGGAACAGAGAACTGGGGGAGGGGAGATGGGGGTGTTAAGTGTGGGAATCAGTTGGGGGCACACCTGAACTGGGACAGAGCGATCAGCGAGACAGAGCTCTGGGCTCTGTGCTGACCAGGATGGACTCTGCTGTAAACTTCCTTTTCTCTGTGCTAGCCAAGGACTTCCTTTGCTGTCTTCCAGCCAACTAATAACTCTTCTGTGTGACAGCGCTGGCTGGGTGTCCCTGCGGATGCTGGTGGAGGAGGAGCATTACTCCCTGAGATCGTACAAATCTCCCTCAGAGATCTGCCTCAATTGGACTTGCTGAGCGGAGCTCCCAGTGTGAAGCAGGGGTGCTGAAGGCCCAGAGGTCCAGCCTAAGGAGGCGGTGAAACTGTGTGGCTTTGTACTGGAGGAAGAGTGAGACCCCTAGGGGGTCTGGCTCACTGAAGGGGTTCTCCCAGGACTGTTCCAAAGCTGGGGCCATAGCACCGATCCTGGAGACCCATGTCACACCCTTTCCAACAGGGATCCTCTGCTACTCCCCAGCAACCAGCGGGACACCCTGCTCCAAGCTCCTAATGAGCAGCCCCCCAGCTATGTTCCCCACCACCACCACACCAGGACACCCACCACCCCCTCCCCATTGCTCCAGCCCATCTCCAATAAGGATCCCCTGCTGCACCCTCTCCTGGATAGGGCCCTGCTATCAGACAGCTAGACCCCACCCTCTGTGCCCCAATGGCACAAGCCCCATAGCACAGCCCTGCAGGCCCCACATGGTGGGGGTGCCCTTTTATGGAGAACAAAGAGATCAGGGACTAGGAGCCAGCTCCTTCAGCCCACCTACCACCTGTGCCAATCCCCTACCTGTCCAGTGCTGAGGCACCAAGTCGTGCTCGGATGATGTCACTGGTCAGAAGCAGGGTGGGACCTGGAAGAGTGAACAGGACCATCACGCCGGGCCTGCATCCCAAGCATGGCTGGGAGCAGAGCGAGGCCCTGGCCCTCACTCACCTATGGCGTTGAGGGCATGCTCCAGCTCCAGCGTGAAGGCTGCCATGGGCACATCGTCACACACTGGCAGCACCGCCACCGTGGACAGGTTACTGGCTGGGTTGGTTAGCTCTGAGCTGGAGGCCACACCAAGACTGGAGCCTGTGGGCAAGACAGAGTGACCGACTGTCCGAGGGGCCCAGAGGGCAAGACAGCCACCAACCAAGAGTTCCCGACCAATGGCAGCTGCGAAGTCACTGCTTGGGGTGTAGGCAGTGTGTGGAGACCCCCTGACTCCTCCCCCCCCCCCCAGGGGCCACAGGGATGTGCCGGCTGCTTCCGGGAGCAGCAAGGGGCCAGGGCAGGCAGGGAGCCTGCCTTAGCCCCGCTGTGCCCCCGGACTTTTAGCAGCCTAAAATCTCCTGGTTTGGCTTCAGTAGCCTCCGGGAGATAGAGCCCGATTCCAGAAGACTCCCGGCAAAACTGTGAGGGTTGGCAACCCTATCAACTGACCAACTGCAGGACCCGGCCTGGAGCTCTGCCCTGTGGCACCTAGCATCAGAGCTGGCCTGGCCCACAAGGAGAGGAGCCGGTTCCCACCCCAGCCAGGGAGCCTGGCTCTCAGCTCCAGCCATAGCAGCTCCTGCTTCTAGCCCTGGAGCCCTGCTTTAATCCCCAGGGTGGGTCCGTCTCCAGCAGGTCTGCCAGTTGCTCCTCAGGTCTTGACTGTGGCTGGGGGAGGAGAACGGTGATAGAGTCACAGCCTGGAGCCCTGGCTAGGGACAGAGGGCCCTGCATGGCATGCTGGGGCCTCTGTAACTCTGACAGGCTGCACCCCCATTAGGGCAAGCTGCAAATTAACCCTCCCCCCCCAAAGCCCCTACCTGTGAAGGGTCCGCACAGCTGCTGTAGGTTCCCAAGGATCTTCTGGCTCAGCAAGTGGATCAGGCGGGTCACAACCTGTCAGGAACAGCAGCCAACCCAGATCAGAGACGAGGGGACCTGGGGTGAGTGTGGAGCATGTGGAGAGGGGCAGGACTCAGCCCAGCCAGCCTCCCAGGAATCCCAGGGATGCTCTTGTCTGCCAGCCCACCCCTTAGGGCCAAGGCGTGTGTGGGAGGCGGGGGGAGAACAAGTGCCAGGGCACCAGGGAGCAGGGCTCAGGGGCCTGCTCGGCTTGGATATGGCATGGGGTGCAGTTTGCCCTGGAGGGACAGGTGTGAAACACTTCCTGCGCCCCCTGGTGGCTGGGCCCAGAACCACGTGCTACTCCTTTGCACTGTGGGACTCAGGAAGGGGATGACCCAGGGAACAGAATGCTGACATTATCATGGCAGTGGGACATGGGCATCAGAGCTCTCCCTTAATCAGTACAGAGGCCAGACACAGCAGGAGGCTGGCAAACCCAGCCCGGGCTAGACCAAGATGTCCTCTGCCCTCTCATGCTTCCCAGGCATGACTGGAGTCAAATCATCATGTGGGGGGCAGGGGGGGCAGCTGAGTACATCAGGCCACAGGTTCCACCCAGGGGATGGCCAGAACTGGAGAACACTCTGTGATTCAGAAACTCTGACCCCCCTCCCTCATGAGGGGTGTGGGTGTTGCTCCCCCATGGCCTGGACAGAGAGAACAGCCCCATCCTGCTACAGAGATAGCCACACTCAGGTCCTCCCTAGCCAGCCACCATCCCTGAGCAGGGCTTCAACGTGGCCCTGGCCTCAGCTTGCTAGGACGCTGGATGGGAATGGGCCTAGCCAGGTCTGGAAGCTCATAGACTTAGGCCTGGTCTACACTAGTTGGTTATTTCGGAATTAGCTGACTTAATTCGGGGGGGGAGGGGGAAGATTCCGTCCAGACGACCTACCCGTTTTTTTCTATTTAAAGGGCTCTTTAATCTGATTTCTGTACTCCACCTCGGCAAGTGGAGTAGCGCTTAAATCGAGATCACAATCCCGGGTTAAAGGTATTGTGGACGCGATTCGACGTTATTGGCTTCCGGGAGCTATCCCAGAATGCTCCCTTGTGACCGCTCTGGACAACACTCTCAACTCCGATGCACTACCCAGTTGGGCAGGAAAAGCGCCAGGAACTTTTGAATTTCATTTCCTGTTTGGTCACCATCAGCACAGTCCACCATCACAAGAGATCACGCAGTTCCGGATTCGCAGACAAGCTCCAGCATGGTCCGAACGGGAAGTACTGGATCTCATCGCATGTTGGGGAGACGAATCTGTTATGGCAGAACTACGTTCCAAAAAAAAGGAACGCAAATATGTACGCTAAAGTCTCCAGGGCCATGACGGAAAGAGGCTACTCCAGGGACACAGAGCAGCGTCGTACAAAAATCAAGCGTACCAAAAAGCCAGGGAGGCGAACGGTCGCTCTAGGTCACAGCCCCATACATTCCGCTTCTACCGTGAGCTGCATGCAATTATGGGGGGTGACGCCACCACTACCCCGCCACTGTCCGTGGACACCTGCAAGGGGGGAGTTGCAAGGAGCGAGGAGGAAGAGTCATTGGAGGACGAAGAGGAGGAGGAGGAGGAGGACAGTGCACAGGCAGCAAGTGGGGAATCCGCTTCCCCCCCTAGCCAGGAACTATTCTTAACGCTGGAGCCAATAGCCTCCCCCCACTCCCAAGGTGGGCTCCAGGACCATGACCCTGGAGAAGGTACTTCTGGTGAGTGAGAGCCTGATCGGAGCGACACGGTGGGGGGCAGGGGGGAAACCCAGCTGCGCTGGGCTGTTTGTGTTTAGTTTAAAGGGCTCATCCCTGCTCAGAGCCTCATCGGAGCCATGCGATGGGTGCTGGGGGGTTGGGGGAGTGTTGTGTTGTGTGAAGTGATCATCCCAGAGAGCCCGCAGGCCCTCCTTTTATATGGCACACCCACCAGGCATTGCTTGCTATGGGAAAGGGGGCCCAGCAGTTTGAAAGCATTGAAATGAATGTGGAAGAAGCAGAACCCCGCATGCCCCTAGGCTGCCTGCAAGCTGAATTCTGTTACCCGTGTGTGATGGCTTACTCACATCAAAGTGGCAGGCACTTCAGTATAAGAGGCAAAATGCTAACTTGTACAGAAAGAACATTTGCTGTGTACTATGAATTGCCTGTTTCACTGAGAAAGAGTGTCCCCTTTGTTCTCTGAAATGTATCTTTTAAAATACTACCCTCCCTTTTTCTCCTCCTGCAGGTGTAAATGTTTCAACGCGGCCCCTATCTACTCTGGGACAGAGGCTGGTCCAGATTAGAAGGCGGAAAAAATGAACTCAGGACGACATGTTTGCCAAGCTCATGCAGTCCTCCCGCACTGATAGGGCCCAGCTGAATGCGTGGAGGCAAACATTTGCGGAGTCCTGTAAAGCATTACAGGAACACGAAGAGAGGAGGGACGCACGCGATGAGAGCAGGCAGGACGCTATGGTCAAGCTCATGGGGGAACAAACTGACATGCTCCGCTGTATGGTGGATCTAATGCGGGAAAGGCAGCAAGACCACAGACTGCCGCTGCAGCCCCTGTATAACCGCTCTCCCTAAGTTCCATAGCCTCCTCACCCAGACGCCCAAGAACACGAGGGGGGAGGCTACGGGGACCCACACACTCAACCCCAGAGGATCGCCCAAGCAGCAGAAAGTTGGCATATGCGAACTTTTGATTTGGTTTCTGGACTTGTCCTTCCCTCCTCCTCCACCCTCCTAACCCAATACCCCCCCTTCCTCCGGTCTACCTTCTGATTTCTCTCAATGTGTTGTGCAATAAATAATAAAGAAGGGTTTTTAAACGATTGTGACTTTATTTCCTTTCATATATATATAGGGGGCAGGTAACTTCAAGAGAAACAAACACAACTGTCACACCGTACCCTGGCCAGTCATGAAACTGGCTTTCAAAGCTTCTCTGATGTGCACCGCGCCCTGCTGCGCTCTTCTAATCACCCTGTTGTCTGGCTGTGTGAAATTGGCCACCAAGCGAGTTGCCTCAACCTCCCACCCTGCCATAAATGTCTCCCCCTTACTCTCACAGATATTGTGGAGCACACAACAAGCAGCAATTACAATTGGAATATTGGTTGTGCTGAGATCTAACCGAGTCAGTAAACTGCGCCAGCGTGCTTTCAAACGTCCAAAAGCACATTCTACCACCATTCTGCACTTGCTCAGCCTATAGTTGAACTGCTCCTTACTACTGTCCAGGGTGCCTGTGTACGGCTTCATGAGCCATGGCATTAAGGGGTAGGCTGGGTCCTCGAGGATAACTATAGGCATTTCAACATCCCCAACAGTAATTTTCTGGTCTGGGAAGTAAGTCCCTTCCTGCAGCTGTTCAAACAGACCAGAGTTCCTGAAGGGGGAGGGATAGCTCAGTGGTTTGAGCATTGGCCTGCTAAACCCAGGGTTGTGAGTTCAATCCTTGAGGGGGCCACTTGGGGATCTGGGGCAAAATCAGTACTTGGTCCTGCTAGTGAAGGCAGGGGGCTGGACTCGATGACCTTTCAAGGTCCCTTCCAGTTCTAGGAGATGGGATATCGCCATTAATTTCAATTTCAAGACGCGAGCATCATGCACCATTCCCGGCCATCCCACGTTGATGTCGGTGAAACATCCCTTGTGATCCACCAGTGCTTGCAGCACCATGGAAAAGTACCCCTTGCGGTTTACGTACTGGCCGCCCCGGTGTGCCGGGGCCAAGGTAGGGATATGCGTTCCGTCTATCACCCCGCCGCAGTTAGGGAACCCCAGTGCATTAAAGCCGTCCACAATGGTCTGCACATTTTCCAAAGTCACTACCCTTGATAGCAGCAGTCAATGATTGCGTTGGCTATTTGCAGCACAGCAGCCCCCACAGTAGATTTGCCCACTCCAAATTGATTCCTCACTGACCGGTAGCTGTCAGGCATTGCAAGCTTCCACAGGGCTATCGCCACTTGCTTCTCAACTGTGAGGCCTGCTCTTATTTTGGTGTCTTTGCACTTCAGGGCAGGGGACGGCAAGTCACAAAGCTCCATGAAAGTGGCCCTATGCATACGAAAGTTTCGCAGCCACTGGGAATCATCCCAGACCTGCAACACTATGCGGTCCCACCAGTCTGTGCTTGTTTCCTGGGCCAAGAATTGGCGTTCCACAGCATGAACCTGGCTCAACGCCACCATGATCTCCCAATCACCACATGCCGTGCTTCTAGGAATGTCTGTGTCCATGAACTCATCAGTATAGTAATCGCGCTGTTTTCGCTTCCTCGCCCGGTTTTGTAGGTACTACACATACTGCTAGATAATGCGCGAGGTATTTACAATGGTCGAAATTGCAGCAGAGATCTGTGCGGGCTCCATGCTTGCCACACTATGGCGCCTGCATGGGTAATCCTGGAAAAAGGGCGCGAAACGTAGGAGAGCTGTTCGGTTCAAGATGGCCAAGAAAAGGCGGTAAATGGTTGTCTTCTGTAGCTTCCACGGGAGCCCAGAACAGACAACATGGAGAAATTAGCTAGCGATGCAAGAGCGGGAGAGCAGAGTTTGTGGCGGAAGCTGTGCTGCTCGGTTCACGGTGGCCCAAAAAAGGCGGGAAATGGTTAGATAAAAGAGTAGATAGAAAGACGAGAGGACTTGCGAGGTGGATTCATAGTATCAGGAGACAGGCGGTGCACCGTACTGCACCGTCTGCTGGCAGTATGGCGTCTGCCGTAGCTTTCACGGAGGGAGGAGTGAGTGTGACGATACACACCCAGAAACACCTGCGAGAATGTTTTTGCCCCATCATGCACTGGGAGCTTAACCCAGAATTCCAATGGGCGGCGGGAACTGTGGGATAGCTTCCTGCAGTGCACCACTCCAACATTCGATCCTAGCCTCGATACTGTGGACGCACTCTGCCGAATTCACGCGCTTTAGTGGGGACACACAACACCAAATGTATAAAATCGCTTCCAAAAATTCGAATAGAATAAGTTCAAATTAATTTCATA